GGCCGTGAGCGGGACTCGAACTCGGCTCTCCGTGTTTGCGGCGCTGACCAGGACGCTACCGCTCCCCTTGCTACCTTCACGGCGGCTGTATTGACAAACAGATGGAGAGTTTGTTTGTTCCGATTTAAAGCTTTGGCGACTGCACGGATTCATATTCTTGGTTCTTTCGGTGAAGTCACGTAAGAAGGGAAATCATGAAGTAATAAAAAAAAGATAAAGCTATAATAAAATAAAATAAAAAAAAAACATCTCACGACGTTTCGGCCGCAACGCAAGCAGCCGTCCTCAGGTGAAGAAACAGAGCTGTCGGAAAGACAGCGTCCTCATGATTAGGACGCTGTCTGTTCTTCACCTGAGGGCGGCTACTTGCGTTGTGGCCGAAACGTCGTGAGATTTTTTTTAAATTTTGTTATAGTTTAATTTTTATTATTGTATTATTTCCCTTCTACGTGACTTTACCGAAAGAACCAAGAATAGGCTGTTTATATTCTTAGTTTTTTCGGTAAAGTCACGTTGAAGAGAAACAACAAAATAACAAAATATATATATAAAACAATAAAAATTCTCACGACGTTTCGACCATAACTCAAACGGTCATCATCAGGTGTGTCGACCGTTTGAGTTATGGTCGAAACGTCGTTTCTCTTCAACGTGACTTTACCGAAAAAACTAAGAATATGAATTACTGCAGTCACGAAAGCTTTAAATCAAAAATAGGCTGTTTGTTTGTGCACCAGCGCCAACGAATAAGCAACAGCAGCATCCAGGGTAGTAGCAGCAGCGACAAATAATTTGCTCACAAGTATAATAATAATAAAACAACAACAACAGCGAAGTGCAGCGTCGTTTTGTATTTCTAGGTCTGTGGTCGACTTGTAATCAATACACGTGGGGAGAGGCCTTCATCCAGCAATGGAGTGAACAATTCAGCTTGCTAAATTAATCAACAGCACAGGCACCCGTGTATTACGATTGTTGTTGTTGTTGTTATTATCCACCAACAACATCAGAGACAAAGATCCCCCGCGTAGCCTGCTACGGACCGTTGGGGCAAGTGCTGCTATCGGAAAGGCCGGCACGGCACACGAGGGGGTCGGGTGGCCAGCACCACGCCCGGCCGCCTTTGTCTCCCCAAGTGGCGATGTTTACTACGCACCGCACCAGGTGCTCATTTGAGGCTGAGCCAACCTAGGGGTGGCTCTAGGGGGTGTTTTGGTGGTAGTCGTGGGGACAGAGCTAGCCTGAATGTTGAATAATAATCACGGAAAATGCAAGACCAAATCAAACCATATGGGTCAGACACACGGCCGTTAGTGAAACTAATTTCTGAAATAAATCAGCTTGAACCTCCCCGTAAATCACGTGGCCTCTTGTGTGGCCAGGCGCCCACTTGAACTATCCTCCGCTCTCATCTAAACATCTCCTGCCCCTCAATCTAAGTCAGCTCGATCCTCCCGTAAATCACGTGGCCTCAGTGTGTGTTACTCCCTCCAATTTTAAATACCTCTGATCGCATCCATAGATCCCTGTCCATGTAAATCAGCCCGAGCCTCCCGTAAATCACGTGGCCTCGGTGCGTGGGCCAGCCCCACTTTAGATACCATCATCTCATCCGCTTTGTCTAAATCAGCTTAAGCCTCCCGTAAATCACGGTGGCTTTCTGTGCGTGCCCCCTACCCTCCACACTACAACTTGGCTCCCTTACTCCCTTGCCCCGCGGTGTGACACGGGTACGAACGACCCAATGTCATCCGTGATAGAGGTCTGGTGGGGTTAGATCGCGTAAAAATATAAATGCGTCGTTAAGCCCGCCACCACCCGACACGGCCAATTAACACACACAACGTGCCAATTCGTGACTCGTACGGCACCACCGATGAGTTGGAGAGTGAACCCACGACATCTACTAAAACAACAGCAACAACAGATGTGCAAAGTGCATGAAGAAACACGAAGGAAGGGATTATTCAGTTCTGCGGCTTCTACTGCTGCTACCTAAAAAAAAGAAGTTGTAATAAATAATCCCGTTTTTGTGGTGTTAACTATCCAATCCGGATCCCGCACACGAGCTGATCATATGGCTCGCTCCATCTCCACGCATCGCTTTGTGTCACTGCTACGCAAACAAAGGACAAAGATCCCCCGTGTAGCCTTAGCAGACTGTTGGGGCAAGTGCTGTTCGCGAGTAGCAGCGCCACCTATGAAGGCCGGCATGGCACACGTGGCGGGGGTGGACGATGCTTACCACACACCACACCAGGTGCTCATTTGAGGCTGAGCCGACCTAGGGGAATTCCCAGCACCGGTTCAGATAATCGTCAGCGGCGGTGTTGGTGGCCGTGAGCGGGAATCGAACTCGTGTCGCCGGGGTTTGTATAGCGCAGTGTAGCGCTAACCGCTGCGCCACCGCTCCCCCGGTGTTTCCATCGGTACCAAACATCATCCGGCAGAATTAGCTTAAAGCAAGCAAGCTGGCAAACAATTATTAACGTTATTGTCATGAAGTTATGATAATAATAACGACGATGACATGAGCAGCAATAGCAAGCCAATTGTGTAATTGTTAAATATCGAACGCATTATGGCAGCAATTACAGGTCATAAATATACACGAAACATCTCCACATGACATTAAATATGAATATATTATTTTAGTCCATTAAGCTATTGTCGGATTTCCAGACCCAAACTATTATCGAGCATCAGCAATCAGCAGCGGCATTCGTTTAAAGGCAAGCACAGGACACGCTGGACCGGTTTCGGCATTCTGGGTCTCATCGGCAGAGTCGGGCCTTGTTACCAAAAGTAAAATGCTGATGGATCATCAGGAGATGTTTGTTTTTGGCGAAGGCGCGAACACATAAGGCGCCACGGTGGCTAGGAGATGTTAACTACCTCGCCAGGTATCCAGGAGGTTCGTGGGTACGATCCAGACCCTGACGATGCCTGCTGTATATTTGGAGTTTGTGTGTCTCTTTCTCTCTCATCATCATCAGGGTGGCTAGGAGATGTTACCTACCTTGCCAGGTATCCAGGAGGCTGTGGGTTCGATCCCGACCCTGACGATGCCTGCTGTATATTTCGAGTTTGCGTGTCTCTCTCTCTCTCATCATCATCATCACTGTGGCTAGGAGATGTTAACTACCTCGCCAGGTATTCAGGAGGCTGTGGGTACGATCCCGACCCTGACGATGCCTGCTGTATATTTGGAGTTTGCGTGTCTCTCTCTCTCTCATCATCATCATCATCACTGTGGCTAGGAGATGTTAACTACCTCGCCAGGTATCCAGGAGGTCGTGGGTTCTATCTCGACCCTGACGATGCCTGCTGCTGTATATTTGGAGTTTGCGTGCCTCTCTCTTCATCATCATCACGGTGGCTAGGAGATGTTAACTACCTCGCCTGGTATATAGGGGGTACGATCCAGACCCTGACGCCTGCTGCTGTATATTTGGAGTTTGCGTGTCTCACTCTCTCCCCGTGGTCACGTGGATTTTTCTCCGGGTCCTCCGGGTTTTCCCCTCCACGTTTAGAATCAACATCACCACCAGGCGTTTGAAGTATTTGGCTGCTACACATTTCCACATTACGACGACGACGATGATGATGATGATAACGATGAGCCCACCTCTCTGAGCTATCATTTGCGATAGCCAGGTCGCTTCTGACGAAAGAGTTACACAGCTCAGTGGGTCTTACCTATAAAATAAAAAAAAATATTTAGTTTACTAGTCAGTTAGGTACAGGAGTAACCCTGTGGAATAAATCAGTCAGCCTCTGGCCATCACAAGGGTTGCGAGTTCAAATCCTGGTCGACTCAACCCATCATCGATCCCTCCGGGAGCGAGGGGGGCGGTGGGGGGTGATTCAGCACCACTTTGTTGGGGAAAGTCAACAGCGGTTGTTCTATGGCAAAGGCTCAACCCGCCTTGGCCACCACCATAGGACCGTGGAATTGCCACCACCACTGGTTCTGCAGGGGAGAGTGGGCTATTCAGAAGAGATGAGCAGTACGGCTTTACGCTCATATTGAACTAAACCCACTCACTAATTGTATTTACCAGGCACGGCCCAGTGAGCCATCATGGTCGGGATCGAACCCACGACCTCCTGTATACTGGCCGAGATAATTAATATCTCCTAACCACCGTTATGATGATGATGAAAGAGAGAGAGACACGCAAACTCCAAATATACAGCAGGCGTCAGGGTCGGGATCGAACCCACAACCTTCTGTATACCAGGCGAGGTAGTTAGCATCTCCTAGCCACCGTGATGATGATGATGATGAGAGAGAGAGAGACACACGCAAACTCTAAATACACAGCAGGCGTCAGGGTCAGGATCGAACCCATGTCCTCCTGTATACCAGGCGAGGTAGTTAACATCTCCTATCCACCGTGATGATGATGATGATGAGAGAGAGAGACACGCAAACTCCTAATACACAGCATGCGTCAGGGTCAGGATCGAACCCACGACCTCCTGTATACCAGGCGAGGTAGTTAACATCTCCTAGCCACCGTGATGATGATGAAAGAGAGAGAGAGAGACACGCAAACTCCAAATACACAGCAGGCATCAGGGTCAGGATCGAACCCACGTCCTCCTGTATACCAGACGAGGTAATTAACATCTCCTAGCCACCGTGATGATGATGATGATGAGAGAGCGAGACACGCAAACTCCAAACATACAACAGCAGGCGTCAGTGTCGGCAGCCAGTTGACAATCGCAGGCAGTCGACAGACACTTTGCAAACTGGAATCCGACTTCTTAATAACAGCACCACAGGCAGACACCGCTCAGCGCGTACCCCGAGGTGCAGCGCCGACCCGCTGCACCGCGCTCGCTCCTCCAGTGAACTCAACGTGAGCACCGAACGAGGTCTGCCACTCTGACAATTTGTAATCGGAGGTCCGAAACGCGGGCGGTGGGCGCAGTTGCACCGCCTTCGCACCTCCGTTGCGTGGCTCCACGAGTGGAAGTCAGTTCCATACCTCTCTCTCTCTCCCTCTCTCTCGCTCTCGCTCTCTGTGTGTCGGTCGCCCGGCGTCGTGGATTCTCCCCGACGCAGTTGCACCGCCTGCGCACTGAACTCGACAGAAACGGGGCAGGGAGGGGCGCTCCCTTGACGTCTTTTTTTCTTACTCACCACGTTCGTCACCGACATTTGCTGTTGGATTGAGACAGATGGAGAGAGAGAGAGATGAGAGGCATGGAGAGACAGAGAGACAGAGACAAACACAGACCAGGAGAAGAGCTGCAGAGATGATGATGGACAGAGACGACGCGGAGGGAGAGAGAGATGAGAGAGAGAGAAAGACAGACAGACAGAAATGAAAGACAGAAACGCAGAGAGATGACAGAGAGAGAGAGACACGGAGAGACAAAGATACGAGAGAGGTGAGAGAGAGAGAGTAAAACACAAGAATACAGAGAGATGAGTGAGACAGAGAGAGAAGCAGAGAGACAGAGAGAGAGAGAGAGAGACAGAGAGCGACAGAGAGATAAGTGAGACACACAGAGACACAGAGAGAGAGAGACACATTGAGAGGATGCAAAGCGAGGGGAGAGAACGAGAGACAGTGAGAGAGAGAGAGAGAGAAGCACACGAGGAAACGGCGTCGTAAATAATGATGCCAAAGTCTCAATAAAGGGGAAGCGAGGCAGTGGAGACAGCACCCGGGAGAGTGAAATAACGGCGCTTAATCATTGCGACAACATCGCTGGCAGGGGCAAATTCCTCGGCTTAGTGGTTGGTGGTGGTGATGGTGGTCGAAGTGGTGGGGATGTCAAGTGCCCGGTGCGGGTGGTGGAGTAAACGTCGCCGCTTGGGGAGACAAAGGCGGTCGGGCGTGGTGCTGTTGGCCACCCCCCATCGTGCGTCGTGCCGGCCTTCATAGCAGCACTTGCCCCAGCAGTCCGTTGCAGGCTACACGGGGGGTCTTTGTCTTTGATGTTGTTGGTGGAGGTGATTTGAGTGTTAGTGGTGTATGTCTTTCTGTGTGTCTGTGTGTGTGTCTGTGTGTGTGTGTGTGTCTTTGTGTGTGTGTCTGTGTGCGTGTGTCTGTGTGTGTGTCTGTGTGTGTCTATGTGTGTGTGTCAGTGTGTGTGTCTGTGTGTGTGTCTATGTGTTGTGTGTCTGTGTGTGTCTGTGTGTGTTTCTATGTGTGTGTGTGTATGTGTGTGTGTCAGTGTGTGTGTCTGTGTGTGTGTCTATGTGTTGTGTGTCTCTGTGTGTGTCTGTGTGTGTCTATGTGTGTGTTGAACACGTAGTTCGTGAAGCCTTCAATAGCTGTACTGGGGGAATCTCCATTTGGTACAGATATAATGGGAGGCTGATCGATGCCCGCGTGCGGTCAAGGGATGGCTCCCTATTGCTCAACCACGTTATGTATGCCGATGATTTGGTAATAGCTGCTCATTCAGAGGAGGAGTTGGAGACGCTGCTGCTAAGACTGGAGCATACCACTAAGAGATGGGACCTTTCCATCAGCCCCACCAAAACTAAGCACCTGCCTGGGTATTTTGTACCATCGGACACTCCACCCACACAACTTCCAATCGGTGATGGGGCAGTTGAACAGAGAGTGGAGAGTTTTCCATACCTGGGCAGTGTGCTTATGACCGGCTCCAGTTTAACAGCAGAGGTCTCACTTCGAATCAGTCGAGCGGCAATATCTTTTCATCGGTTGCGTAACGCTGTGTGGAAGCTACCTGGTCTGTCGCTCCGCACTAAGCTTCAGGTCTTCTCGGCCACAGTCATTCCCTCCCTTCTCTACGCTTGCGAAACGTGGACCCCCCTAATGGAACATCTTCGCCGGTTAGAAACATTTAGGCTAGCCTGCCTACGATCCATCCTGGGTTTAACCAGGCTGGATTGTGTGAGGAGCTCACAAATCTTCGAAAGATCTGGGCAAGGTCCCATCGGTGAGCTCCTCCGGCAGACAAGGCTGCGTTGGCTGGGTCATGTAGCCCGCATGCACAGCCACCGCATGCCGAAATAGCTTTTGTTCGGCCGGATCAAGGGGGCTAAACGGGCGCGGCACGGGCTAGAGAAGAGATGGAGTGATGTGCTACAAGAGGACGTGGAGCTGAGTGGACTTGTCGATGACTGGTACCAGCGGTGTCAAGATCGGCCTCTGTGGAGGAGGCTCGTGAAGGACGCTACTGGGCAGTTGGAGACAGTCGCCCTCCAACAACAACGGATGAGCGACGCTCACAACAACGAGCGGAGCGTCGGGTGGCTAAAGCACAGCAGGTTGGCACAGTAGGGGGCACAGGTGGTGCATCAACCAGTCATCTTAGTCAGTCGACCCGTGGCACCTGCTGGGTCTGCCCCGTGATCTCCTGTCAGTGGGCGTTCGACACTTCAAGTGGCCTCAAGGTGCACATAGCCTGGCACAAGCGTCGTGGTGACGTCACCGCCACTTAGTGGCGAATGGCGGTTGTTGTCGTGCGTGTGTGCGAGGCTGAGTGTGTGTCTTTGTGTGTGCGTGTGAGTGTGTGGCTGTGTGTGTGTCTGTGTGTGTGTCTGTGTGTGTGTCTGTGTGTGTGGCTGTGTGTGTGTCTGTGTGTGTGTGTCTGTGTGTGTGTCTGTGTGTGTCTGTGTGTGTGTGTCTGTGTGTGTGTCTGTGTGTGTGCGTGGCTGAGTGTGTGTCTGTGTGTGTGGCTGTGTGTGTGTCTGAGTGTGTGTCTGTGTGTGTGTCTGAGTGTGTGGCTGAGTGTGTGTCTGAGTGTGTGTCTGTGTGTGTGGCTGAGTGTGTGTCTGTGTGTGAGTCTGTGTGTGTCTATGTGTGAGTCTGTGTGTGTGTCTATGTGTGAGTCTGTGTGTGTCTATGTGTGAGTCTGTGTGTGTGTGAGTCTGTGTCTGAGTGTGTAGGGGAGTGGCAGGTTGAGGTCGCGCTCAGAGCCCAAAGTGCGGCCCGGCGTGGTGCTCGCCACACCCTCGTGTGACGCGCGCGCCTTCATAGGACGGCACTTGCCCCAACAGTCTGCTCAGGCTATACGGGGGATCTTTGTCTTTGTGTGTGTCTCCCGCGTGTGTGTCTGTCTCTGTGTATGTGCCTCCGTCTGTCTCTGTGTGATAGACACGCACAAACACGGGCACATAAACAGAGAGAGAAAGACAAAGATCCCCCGTGTAGCCTGTAACAGACTGTAGGGGCAAGTGCTGTTAGCGAGTAGCACCTATGAAGGCCGGCACGGCACACGAGGGGATGGGTGACCAACACCACGCCCGGCCGCCTTTGTCTCCCCAGTGGCGATGTTTACACACCGCACCAGGTACTCATTTTAGGCTGAGTCAATCTAGTGGAGGTCCTGGACCGGTTCAGATAATCGTCACTGGTATTGGCCGTGAGCGGGAATCGAACTGGGATCGCCAGGTTCGTAGGGCAGCGCGCTAACCGCTACACCACCGCTCCCCACACAGACACACACACGTACTCACACTGACACACACAGAGACAGACACACAGGCACATACACACAGAGACACAGAGACACACATACACACAGAGACATACACATACAGAAAGAGACACACACATACACAGACACACAGATACACATACACACAGACACACACATACACACAGAGACACACAGAGACACACACACATACACACAGAGACACACACATACACACAGAAACACACATACACACACAGACGCACACATACACACAGAGACACACACATACACAAAGAGAGACACACATACACACAGAGACACACACATACACACAGAGACACACACATACACACAGAGACACACACATACACACAGAGACGCACACATACACACAGAGAGACACACATACACACAGAGACACACACATACACACAGAGACACACATACACATTCACACAGAGACACACACATACACAGACACACACATACACACAGAGAGACACACATACACACAGAGACACACATACACACAGAGACGCACACATACACACAGAGACACACACAGACACACAGAGACACACACATACACACAGAGACGCACACATACACACAGAGACACACACATACACACAGAGACACAGATACACACAGAGAGACACACATACACACAGAGACACACATACACACAGAGACACACACATACACACAGAGACACACACATACACACAGAGACACACACATACACACAGAGACACACACATACACACAGAGACACACACATACACACAGAGACACACACATACACACAGAGAGACACACATACACACAGAGACACACACATACACACAGAGACACATACACACAGAGACGCACACAGACACACACATACACACAGAGAGACACACATACACACAGAGACACACACATACACGGGGTGTATCTCACTAATGTGGGATGACCTTTCCCACACGACGATCCGGAGCCAGATTCACCCCCTACCCTCCACGCTTTGTAAGAATCCGAGGCTCCTGAAAACAAAACAATCTTAAACGGATTTTATAATTAAATAAGTCAAATATAACCATTTATCTGCAATGTCAAAGTGCGGTGTTTATATGCAAATCGGCAGCGTGCTACTCGCCGTGAGACGCTGCTGGACACTGGGGGGAGGAGGGCGGGGGGGGTTAGAGGCAATCTGTGTGGTGGTGGTGGTGGAGGTGGTGATGGTAGTGGAGGCGGTGGTGGTGGTGATGGAGGTGGTGTTGGTGGAGGTGGTGAAGGAGGAAGTGGTGGTGATGGTGGTGGAGGTGGTGGTTGTGGCGGTGTTGGAGGTGGTGGAGGTGGTGTGGTAGAGGTGGTGGTGGTGGCGGTGGTGTTGGAGGTGGCGGTGGCGGTGGTGGTGGTGGTGGTGGTAGAGGTGGTGGTGGATGTGGTGATGTTGGTGGTAGAGGTGGTGGTGGATGTGGTGATGTTGGTGGTAGAGGTGGTGGCGGTGGTGGTGGAGGTGTTGTTGGTGGTGGTGCTGGTAGTAGTGGGAAGAGTGGAGAGGACGGAGAGAGAGAAACACACACAGACAAAGTTCCCCCGTATAGCCTATGATAAACTTTTGGGCCAAGTGCTATTTGCGAGCACCCAGAGGCCGGAACGACAAACGCGAGAGGCGGGGGTGGTGTGG